TGGTCGATAATACTTGATTCATCAACATCTTTGAAAATTTAGATGGCCAAAGCGGGTTTCATCTGTGCCTCGTCAATACACAATCCCGATAATGTGATGTGCGTGTATTGCGATGTGAGCCTCGGCGACTGGGAACAAAAGGATGATCCCATGTAAGGATGGTTTAATTTCGTTGACGGAAGTCAGTGTTTTCATATCGATCTTTTGAGGAATCGCGTAATTTACTTATCGGTTTGCTTGATAAAGGAAAGAACATCGTAAAAGATTTCCTTCATGTCCTTTCTTCGATAAACCACCGTTGAAAGCGAAAAAGCAAAAGGATGCTGAAAAGGTGATAACAAAAAGAACCAGGAGACAGAAGGTTGAACAGGTGTCTATCGTCAACGTTGAGGAAGATGAGATGGAGACGTTGGACAGAATGGTTGGTCACCTTACGCTGGGTGAAAATTCTGGCCGTGATTCAAAACAAATAATTAGAGTATGCTCATCTCATCTTTGTGGATACTTGTGATTTATCATTTTTGGATGAAAACCACGTTTCTAACACTCAATTGACTTCACCAAGAAATCCACATCGATCGGTATGTGCAACGATGCCGTGATCGAGGATAATCGTGAGGTTCCGATTGACGGTAGAGAATCACGAGGATCAACCTCAACGCAGAGAAAGACAGAGGAGAAATCGAATTCGGAGGTTGACGAAGTTGAGAGTCTAGGTTTGGGAAGCATACAATCCATGAATCTAGGCGGTGATGATATCTTATTTATCAACAATGATAGCACGCGCAATTCGTCTGTTCTGCGATACAACAACGAAGTCGTGATTATTGAGGATGATGAAAACCGAGCCACAGACTTGCCGGTTTTCCAAAAAGATTTGGAAATCAAAGAAAACCGTCAACAAGCGACTTCCCATCCGCAACAAAATAACGTGATAATGCAAAGAGATGCAACAGAAAGGAGCGTAGAAAATGTTGAGCATGAAATGCTCCCGAGAGTTGAAAAAGACGACACGAATGTGTTGAAATTTGTTGTTGAAAAGGAGATCGTAGAAGACTTTAACTATGAACTTTTAGGTATCATTGATGATGGTGAATGCGATGAATTGCTGGCTGAAACAAACTCAGCGAACGATGAATGTAAAGTACTTTCGAACATTG